GATCTAATCTAGGCTTATGATATGTTTGAGAGGGTTATGATATTCAAAAGGTTATAGAACTGATTAAGTAATAAGGTATAGTATATTAGGTGAGAAATTGTATTGATATTCGAGTTTAGTAATAAATATTAAGCTTGAATTTGAGACGAGTGTCATAACAAAAAGAATGGCAACATGAGGGTGATGATGTTAGTGTTGAGATTCGATCTAGAAGACTTAACATAGAGCAGGTGAGAAATTGAGATGTTAGATGCAACAATTATGAGTTGTACAATTGAGAGACCCAAACCATTAGATAAGGGTAGTGAACTGTGGCTAAGTCACAAGAGTAACAAGAGCATTAAGATGTGTACCGAGATGGTATGTAACAAGAAGAAGTTAAGAGAAACACCTTAGAAAGAGGTATTAGTACCTGCTTATGGAGAGTTCATTAGTAATGAGATAAACTTCTCCCGAGTTTTAGAGTAAAAGAGGATGTAGACAAGTTTAGAGATGATGGGATAGGTCCATAGCTTTCAAGTGTCAGCATTAGACCTAAGGGGGAGATGATAAGATGAGAAATCAAGTCAAGTGTTTGAGAATAAGATAGTAATGAGTTCCACAGTGTATGAGAGATATCTTTTCAAAGGTCTTATTAGTTGTGGAGTGATGTTAGAAAGAGAAGGTTAATGATCCTATCATGATAATGATGGTGTGATAATTTCGTCTAAGGTTATAAATGAGGAGGAAGAGGAGGATGAGTTTTTTCTATGAGAAATAGCAAAATGAGAGCCCTTAGTTGGTTCTGAATAGTAATGCGCACAATTTTAGTTGGTATGGCAGAGATGATAAGAGTAACCCTGTTCCATACCCAGTCCAACCGTTATTCGAGGACGAATTATCCCAAGGGGGAGATAATGTAACACCACAAAAAAAAATTGAGCTAAGACTCGAGCCATCCTTTGTTGTGAGTAGGATTTTATCGATAAATTTTAAATTTCTTAAGTGTTAAGGTCACTAGATGTAGCAGCTTGAGATTTAAGACGAACTAAAGAGAAAAATCATTTAAGTCATTCCTAAGTTCTTTTAAGTTTTAGGTCAACTTCAAACATACATAACTCACAGTACAAGATGAATTAGGTGGGCTACAATGTATCAAATGAAAGGTCTTTGAATTATCTTTCCAACTCCACTGAGTTTGCTAAGTTTCGAGTTCGGTTGAGTGAGATATGCCCTTTGAAGTCAGGCTGTCCAGTTAAGGAAAGGTATCCGAAAATAGTAAGGATATTTTGGTCTTTTGCTTAACCAATCATATTTAATTCGTTTTTAGTAATGTTTTAGGGATCTAATATGATTAGGTTCAGTTTTATAATCCTATTATACGCCTGAGACTTTAAGAAGAGAAAAGAAGAGAAAAGAGGAGAAAAGAGGAAAGGATCAAGGCGTTCGTCTAGGTTCTTGAGTTTTGTTGCGGATTTTCGCCATGGGTTTGATCCCTAAGAGGTCTGTAAATTTCCATAGTGTTGGGTTAGTTTACCCACATGCTAAACATGATTTTCATATTTGAATTCATCCATAGAGATTGAAAGATTTAAGTTCTTGTTAAGTGTTCTTGAAGTTCATTCTAAATCTTGTTTTGTTGGGGTATTGATGATTTCTTGAGATGAAATTTAGTGATTTGAGGGCTGTTTTGAGTAGATTAGAGTGTACTTATGTTAAGTAGTTGAATCCAAATGATTGGGGAAGAAACCGTATGATTCTAGGAGAGTTACGGTGAGAAAAACGAGTAAAACAAAGTCGTCGTGGTTTTCTGGGTTTGGGCCTGGTGCCCCATGGCAGCCAGAGCGCCCCAATCATTCCTTTGTAGGTAGAGGGCTGGCGCTCCATGCCACTAAGTGCGCCAGGATCGCCTGCCCCTACCCCTTCTCTGTCGGTTCGCCCATTTGAGTCCTTTAAAAGAGTACTTTCAAGCCCTATTGATTCAAAACACTCTAAACACATAGAAATCATTGCTAACATGATCATAACCTTGTATTCATAATTAAAATTCAAGGTAGAGTTAAGAGTTAAGTCTTGAGAGTTCTTTCGAACATTTTGAGAAAGTCCCTTTGAGTCTTTTTGAAGAGTCTTCTACAATTTCTAATAACTTATTTCAAGACTCGAGCAAGTGAGAATTAGAGTGAGGAAAATATATTCATGATTGTACTTTATTATCACAAGATCCTTCAGATTATGAACCATAACTCTTTAATTCATAATTCACATTCAGAAGACAGTTAAGAGTAGAGTTCAAGAAAGCTTTTGAGTTCACTTGTGAATCCTTTGAGATAAACTATCGATTTGAACTAAGTTTTGAGAAACTAAATATGAGAATGGGAAGGTTGTATACATGAGTTCCATGTTGTTATGCAGACCCTCAAGTCAAGTCGTTTATGCCCATAAAATCCGCATGAACTCCATAAGTTGAGTATCTTTGAGAGGAGTAGTATCTTTAAGTTCTAAGTCTTGAGTATTGAGTTCATAATCCTTTTGAGATTATATTCCTAATCATGGGACTATTACAGGTTACCCATAAAGTTCTTTAGTTCAGTAGTTCATGCCCATAACTCCGCATGAACCCTATAAGTCAAGCAGTCTTGAGTTGAGAAGTATCTTTGAGTCCTTGATTTGAGTAGTTCATGCTCATAATTCCTCATGAACCCTCTGAGTTGAGAATTCTTGAAATGAGTAGTATCATTGAAGTTCTTGAATTCCAAGTATTGAGTTCTATCTATGATTATTGAAAACCATGAATTGAGTCATTCACGTCTATAATCTGGCATGAACTCTATTTTAAATAGTCTTTAGCAAATTCTTTAAACTTGTTTTAAGACTTGAGTTTTGAGCTGAATAATGAGTAACGAATGAAGTTCATTTTCTTCAAAAGAGTATATGGGAACTATGTATTCCCAAAGAGTAAATGTTTTCACATTTAAGCAAGAGAGTAAACTCAGATTTCCAAAAGTGCCTTTGAGCTACTTTTTCATTAAAGAGTAAATGCTTTCACATTTAAGAAATAGTGGAAACACTGATTTCCAAAAAAGCCTTTGAGCTAGTTTTTGAGTAATTATCTCAAACCACAGAAAGAGTTATGTTTTTAAACATATGAGCTCGTTATATTTTGGGTGTAGTATTGAGCACAGATATGGGGGAGAGTTCAGACAACTCACAGCCCACATAAACCATGTAGCCAACGTGGGTAGAAATTGTCATACTTTTTAGATGATTCCTTTGTGATTTTTAGAATAGACTAGTGGATCAACTTAGTAGTTGGGTTCGATACCCACGGCAAGGTATAGGACATCCTTGGCAGCGTGAGGCGAAATGTTGTATTATCACATAGCTCATAGTAATTGTTGTCGGTTAGAGAAACTTCCACAGAGATATTTTGTATCCTTTGTAACATACCGCTTTAGAAATAACTAGAATTTGAAAGAAAATGTTTTTAGAAATAATCAAATTTGGAAAGTTTGACAAAGTTAAGCTATGTATGAGTTTTGGGTCAACTTAAAATGAGTATAACTACTATCTCAGGATGATTTAGATGTTCTACTATATACCGTTGGAATAATATTTGAATTATCTTTCCAACGCCGCTGAGTTTGTGGGATTTCGAGTTCGAATGAGGGAGATATGCCCATTTAATGTTGGGTTATCTAGATAAGGAAAGTCAAAATTGGATTTTAGGAAGGTATTATGGTCTTTTCATTACCCAATTAGTTAAATTCCTTTTTGGTAATTAAGTTGGTGTCTAAACTGATTTGATTCAGTTTACGCTTCATCAAAATAAGTTAGGGTTTTGAGAGAAGATTAAAGAAGAGGAGAAAAGAGGAGAAGAAACAAAGAATCGTCAAGTTCTTGAAGCTAGACTTGTGGATTTCGCCAAGGATTAATCCCTACGAGGTATGTGCGATCAACTGGCATGTCCCAAGAAACTACGAACACCCTTCACCGAAATTGGTACCAAGAACTATACCTTCCTTAACTATGAAGTGGCATTTTCCCCAATTTAGGACCAAATTTGTGTGCACACATCTTTGGAGAACATGTCCTAAGTGTGCTAAACATGCTTTTAAAGTGTCACCCACAACCGAGAAGTCATCCATGAATACCTCCATTGAATCCTCCACCATGTCAGCAAAAATAGATAACATGCAACATTGAAATGTTGTCGGAGCATTACATAACGCGAACGTCATCCGTTTGAAGGTAAAAGTTCCGTACGGGCAGGTGAAGGTGGTTTTCTCTTGCTCTTCCGGAGCAATGGAGATTTGGTTATAACCAGAATACCCATCCATAAAGAAATACCAACCTCTCTCTAAGAGTTGATCAAGCATTTGATCCATGAAAGGCATGGGAAAGTGATCCTTTCAGTCCACGAATTTAACTTCCGGTAAACCATGCATACTCTCCATCCGGTCACTGGTCTCATAGATACAAGCTCCCCCTTTTCATTTGGGACTACTGTGATGCATCCCTTTTTCTGTACACATTGTACCGGACTTACCCATTTGCTATCCGCAATAGGGTAGATCACACATGCGTCTAACCACTTTATTATCTCCTTTTTCACCACCTCTTGCATCGGTTGGTTCAATCTCCATTGATGTTCAACACTCAGCTTACAATCACTATCAAGCTGAATTTTGTGAGTGCAAATACATGGAGGAATGCACACTATGTCAGCGATAGTCCGACCTATAGCTTTGATATGCCTTCTCAACACCTCAAGGAGAAATTTTACCTGCCATTCAAGCAAGTCAGCTACAATGATCACGATAAGGTGTTATTTGCCCTCAAGAAAGCATATCAGAGATGGGAGGAAAGTACTTTCAACTCCAGATTTGGTGGTTCTTCTGTTGATGGTTTTGCGGGAGGACTTTCTTAATGTTTTAGATCAATGTCCAACTTCAATGAAGTGTTTGAATACCCCCCTCCCCTCCCCCAAGCCTGAAAGAGAAGATACTACTCACTACCTTTTTTTAGCCTTGAATTTTGAATTTATTATAGTTAGCGAGCACAACTTCAACTGGTTCACTCATACACATCAAATGGCTCACACTAGCCACAACCTCATCAATAACATCAACAACGGAGACCACGTGAATATCACTCGGGTGTTTCATTGATTTATAAACATTAAAGGTTACTTCATCTTCGTTCTCCCAAAACTTCCGTTCTCTGCTTTCCATATCCACCAATGCTCTCCCGATTGCCAAGAATGGTCTTCCTAAACTGATGGGAATTTCAGCATCTATTTCACAATCAATAATGACAAAATCAGCAGGGAAAATGAACCGGTCAACCATTAACAAGATGTCATATAGTATCCCCACAAGATGTTTAATTGATCGGTCCGCCATTAAGAGTCTCATTGTTGTGGCTTTCGGTTCACCTAACCCAAGTTGTTTATAGATTGTACATGGCATTAGGTTGATGCTTGCTCCCAAATCGCAAAGGGCTTTAGCAAATTGGAGAATGCTGATGGTGCAAGGAATGGTGAATGATCCTGGATCTTCTCTCTTTTTGATCAGCTCCTTAGTCATAATTGCATTACAACTATGAAAAACTTCGATTGTCTCAAAATCCAAGCTCTTTTTCTTTGTGACTAACTCCTTCATAAACTTGGCGTAACCCGGCATTTCCAGTAATGCTTCCACTAGAGGGAGATTAATTGATAATGTCTTGAACACCAATAAAAATTTCTTGAACTTCTCATCCTCATTCTTCTTCTTCTTCTTGAGACGTTGGGGAAATGGAGGAGATATTTTGGGTAAAGGTTGCATAACTTTTGGGATTGGATTGTGTTTCTCCACATCTTTTTGTGGTTCTTTGGCAATCCTTTGATGAATAGGTGTCTCTTCTTCCTCCATAACTTTGTCTTCTTCATGCATTTGAGCTTCTTCGTTGCCTGTCACATCGCCTATTTCTACCTTTCCACTACGAGTAATCACAGCCAGCCCTCTATCATTATCTTCCATTGTGAATTTTGGTTTCAATTGTGCTGAAAGTAAACTCAACTGACCTTCAAGTATCTTGATTGCATCTGTGTGAGAGTTCACTTTACTGTTCAATGATGAAAAGTCAACTTTCATCCCTTTCAACAAATCATTCACCCGGGGACTACCTACACTCCCTTTCGATTTTGGTCTCTCACTTGACTGAATATGGTCCTTTTCATGGTCATCCTCCATTTTCCAATAATCACTTTGATCAACCCAATCTTGATAGTATCTTATTTGCTCTTCCCCATTGTGATAGTTCCAACCTTGATTCCCACCTCACTGTAAATAGCGTGGATAGAAACCCTCCTCTATCTCTTGGAATTCCAACCTTGATTCTCCCCTGGTTTTGAATAACTTGTGGAAGAACCCTCCTCAACTCTCAACACTCCACTTGTCCCCTTGGACTTTCCCACATTCTCCATCATATGCTCTTGTAATTGCTCCATTTGGGTCAACATATTCTTGATGTTTTCATCCCTTTCTCTTTCCTTATCAATTTGTTCTTGTGTCATCCTAAAACAAAAAGGAGAGACTTGATCCTCTTGAGTGTACCAAGCTTGATTTATTTTCGTTATGTCATCAAGAAGAAATGAAGCCACCTGAAATGATTGCAACATTATTCCCCCTCGTACCAATTAATCAGCCACTCCATTATTAACCGAATCAAGACTCCGGTAAAAGTATTCGAGTAGCAAATCGTTTCGTTGCCCATGAGTTGGGCATTTGAGTAAGAGTTTCTTAAACCTCACCCACGTTACATGGATGGGTTCACCCTCCCATCGCTTGAAACCTTAAATGTCATCTCTAAGTTTCATCATCATTGATGGGGGAAATAATCTCGCATTGAATGCTATAATCAGCTCCTCCCATGATGTGAGGGAATTGTTTGGTAACTCGGCCAACCACTTGCTAGCCTCCCCCGTCAAAGATAGTGGAAATAACCTAAGCCGGATTGACTCTTGTGACACATTCTTGAATGAAAATGGGCTTCACACCTCTATAAAATTTCTTACATGCTCATGTGGGTTTTCATGATCTAGCCCTCCATAGAGTCCCCTTATTTGGAGGAGATGAAAAGTTGTGTTAGTGATCTCAAATATTGCATTCCCCTCAGTTTGTGGTAGGCAAATTGCACCCAGCTCACCTGGTTGAGATGGGTCGTAAACACTATTGATATCATCGATACCCTCTCGATGACCTGCTTGGCTACCATTCACCTTTTCCTCACTCATTTTTACTTCTATTTAGTCCAACCAACACTACACAATTCAGTCTAAGCCGATTCAACTACAACCAACAAATTCACAAGTCAAATCTTCGATAAAGAAATCTAAGTAACGCTACTCCCCGGTAGCGGCGCCATTTTGATTAACATTTCAAAGAAACTTCATCCAATTCTAAGTGTCAACGATCGTTAGTCAGTATATAACCCAACCAACTGAGTTGGGGTCGATCCCACAGAGAGTAGCCTTTTTTGTATTCAAATACGAAAAAATAACAATGACCTTTGGAGTTGAGCAACACAACACTTAATAGTTACACAGTCAAATTTCAAGATGTTGTTACCAATCCACTTCAACTTATCAACATGAAACAATCAGATAACTAGGAAACACTTGGGGGGTTGACTAACCAACTATCAAGTTAAACTTAATAGGTGTATCTCATTACCGATAAAGTTAATTCGTCGCGAGTAAATTGGACTATAAGTAAGGCAACTTTCTCTCGAACAATTACCTCATTTCTGTTGAGTTCTCTTGAACCTCAACACCATCTCTGAAATGACCAGCCCGCGCTCTCATAAAATCCACTCACTCAAGAAGGATATTAATGCTAGCTCTTGGGTTTCACTTTCTCAAGGTGAAACCGTCAAGACTCACTACTAAGTATGCCAAATTACTACGTTGGTTTTGTACTCCTCTTTGGAGAAAGCACAAAATTCTAAAATATATCTCACTAAATTTGCAATATGGACTTTAAACAACCATAGTAATCTTGACCTGCTTCAGTTTAACATAAAAAATAACTAATCAATAACACCCACTTAGTAAAATTCAACAATTAGTCACATTGTCAAACACCAAAGGTTAGGGTTTTAGCCAATCATAGTGAAAGATGAAATTCAATACTTTCCACGTTTTTCATAGCTAGGTAAATGAAATTCGAAAGTTAAAATTTACTAAAATCTTCTCTATTACAAAATTTGAATGGGAAACCTTGCTAAAATCACTTGAAATCCACAAGGGTAGTGTTTTTGCTCTCAATCTTTTGTTCCTTACGTTTCTGAATGCCTTCTCTCTCTTTCAAAAATCAATCTATGCAAGTCTGATGTTTGACTATTTGGGACCAATAGAAGTTGGTAAGTCAGGCTTCGTCGACCATTCGACGACTCGCTGATTCTCCTTCGTCTCACCTTAATTTTTCACCTCTTCTTAGTCAGACCACTGTAATTTTAGGCGAGGCAGATCGAGATCGCCGTCTCATTCCATGATACGTCCTTTTTCCTTTCATCTTGCCCATTGGCACTTATTAGGATCTCCATCAGTACTTTCGGTGACCTGGTCATCCATCGCTGATGCGATCGGCGACACACTGAGTGGAACTGCTGCTCACTGAAGCTACTTCTAATACAACCTCAGTGTTCTGTAACTTTAGGCGGTAGAGTGGTAACTTGGCGAGTTGCCGAGTGACATCGGCGATCATCAGGCTTATTTTTCCCTTCTCTTTTTCGCTCCTGTAATCTCTGTTACCCATTTTTGTCCTATCTTTCTTCCTCAATCCATATATCTGAAGATCTAGGGTTTTACATCAGTTGTTGGCACAAAATAAGCATTTAAGGATACTAAATAATTATAAATAAAGCCATAAATGAGTCCAAATCTTGGACTCATCAATGGGGTTATATATCGAATGCATAATATTATATACCATATTTTAAAATTTTTAAACTAGTGTTATAAGAAGATAGTAGGCTATGAAAATGAAAAAAAAAGTTTAGTCACCTAGTGAAGGTGTGAAAAAAAATGAAAGATTTTGACTTTTCTGAAGAGTTGCCATGCAACACCCCAGATTATGAAAGAGAGAGAATGTAGATATTCAGAGTTGCAGGTGCCACCAACGTGGCCACCTACGGACCGTAGGTAGGGTCCGTGGTTGGCCACTTGAAACCCCCTCCCCATAATCCTAGAAAATTCAACCAAGTCTAGAACCACGCCTGGACCTACGGACTGTAAGTGGGACCACGGTCCGTGGTTCAGACCCCCTCCCCAGAATCCATCCTTTGAAGCCAATCGATGGACTGACAAGGCAGGCCGTCACTCGTTCGACGGTCCATCGGTCAGGCTCGACGTTGGCCTCGTCAGCTTTTAAGTCAAGGGTCATTTGTTCTTTTCCCCTATCTATTGGACACCTAAATTACATCATTTAATCCCTAAACTACGTCATTTTGGTCAGTTTGAGCCTAGTGACATAGTCAGAACTTTCCCTAAGCGATTCATTCACTAGAATTCCTCAAACTTAGAGCAAAAGAGGAGATATTAGTCGACCAAACCCTTCCAAGAATGCAGGAAGTTTTCTTCAGTCCCAGCCCAAAAATTGAAAGATTTCTCTGTGAAATTCGTCACCAGGTATGTAGGATCTCACTAGTGGGTAACTTCCACCCATTAGGTCCCTAGAATTTAGTCAGATTATTGATTCCCTAATTATTGCCTAGACCTAGGGTTTCTAGAACTTCAGATAATTGTTATAACTTAGCTATTGTACTGTTCTAAATCAGATTATCATGTCTTCGAAACATTGTTGCTTAGCTTTTTGGATGAAACTCAGAACCCTAGTTGTGTAGATTCATTTTGTTAATGAATTACACTAGCTAGGACAGATAAATAGATATACATGCCTCAGTTTTCAAATGTTTCATTATCAGTACCTAATGTTGCATGTTCAGTTATCATGTCAAAATATTGAGCTATCCCTCTTATTATAGTTGTGTTGTATTGTACACATTCTAGTTGGGAGTAGTTTTAATACCGAGTTGGACTAGGGTCAGTCACCCTCATAGTCCTAGAACTACATGCCCCCGTAGGTTTATAAGTCCCCTCTATGGTCATCGAATTTACTGATCACGTCAGTCATGCCTTTATACCCCTGGCAAGGTATATTGGGTCCCCTCGATGGGGCGTATACATCGGACTCCACGTTTGCCTCACATGGTTTTATGTCGATTAATTGTAGCTCCCACAGTCAGACTTTAGTGCATTTGACCAGATTTTCATTTATGTTTTTTGATATTCAACTCAGCATGTTATGTACTTGGTCATTGCATTCTATTTAGTTCATATTCACTATATCTTAGTATTTTCATTATGTTCAGATTAGACCATTGTTCAGTTATATGCTTCTTCAACTTTATTCTATCTTGCATGCTTGGTACCTTTTAGGTACTGACGCATACTCTGCGCTACATCTTTTCGTGATGTAGGTTCAGGTCCTCAGTATTCAAATCACGTGTAGATAGTTCCCGATTTGTATTCAGCAGTATCAGTGGTGAGTCATCATTCTTAGAGGACGATAGACGTGTTTCTTTTATATTTAGTCTTTCATTTCAGTTTCAATTTTGCTAGAGATAGCTGAGACATGTCCCAGTAGCTCTCGACAGTTAGAGGCTTATTTTAGACATAGTTTAGATTCAGCTTTAGCTTGGAGTGAATGTTTAGTATCATTAACTCTTACTCAGTAATTATATATTCAGACTAGTATTTAGTATTCCCCATCATTAAGTTTATCTTATGTTTTAAGCTTCCGCACAGTATTTCTTATCTCAAAAAATTCTAGAATGCTTATGATATGCCAGCTCAGGGTTAGCTTTGGGTAAATCGTTATCCTAGGTCTCGTGTTTACGTCAAGGGGTAGCCTCGGGGCATGACAAACGTGGTATCAGAGCATGAGGTTTAAGAGTCCTAGGATATCTGAAATACCACACTAAGTAGAGTCCCTTTCATGGGTGTGAAGCGCGCCACACTTATGAGGGGGTGGTTACGAAGTGTTTTAGGAAAAAAGTTCACATTCTTGTTATTCCTATCATGTGTAGGTATGATCTCCTTTCTAACTCGATGTTATGCATTTTAGGTCATGCCTCCTTGTAGAGCCTACGCAAGGAATGCTAATGCCCACAATGCTGACACAGTTCCTCC